AAACCCTACAAAAAATGAATTGATAAATCACCCCGTGGTTTTCCTACTAAATGCAACTCTTTCTTTAGGGTTGCTATCTATTTTCTTAGCAAGAGCAACGTCATGGGAGGGGTATTTCCTGGGAGTCTTGCAAGAAGCTGCTCTAGGAGACTGCGAGCAATATCATGGGAGAGGGTATCGCTAGAACTATGGTAAAACTGTGAAACTCCCTTGCTATTTTAAATAGATTTGATGCTGCATGTTGTTTAAGGAATCTTGTTATATTTATAGTAATGAAATGCAGGTTTTTGTATGTTGTTATATTTGCTATTGTTTTGCTATGCTGAAAATGTCACTGTGTTATTGGTTTGCAATGTTATTATGAAATTGTTTTTGTAGTGTTCTTGTGTGGGAAAGCGGCATATGAATGAATGAATTATTTTTGTGCCTTTATCTAAGGCAGGCAGAAATCCCACAGGCGCAGTCTCATCTCGAAGCTCAAAATGTAGTGGTTGTGACTACTGTGCACATGCAGAGTCCTTTCCTTCTCACAGTGTAGCTACTACTGCCAGCCTTTGCATTTAAGAACAAGTTTTCCAAGTCAGAGTTTGTAACTTTGGGCAGAGGCAATTTCAGGAATCCAAAATGCCTTTCATTTCAGCAAGTAATCACTGGGTGTGTGAGGCATAGCTACGAAAGCACCATTTCCTCCCTCTTCCTATTGCCACATACAGCTTGAAGGCAACCCTGGCATAATCCCTGGTGTTCTGTGGTTGCTGCTATTCTCTTCTCTTCCGTACACAGCCCCCCCCCCCGCCACCAGCAACCTCTTTGGCAAATCTGTGTTTACAATTTCAGCAGCAGCTCTTTTGAATTCCTGTACAGTGAGCTATTTAACTGTGGCATGAATGCTCCCAAGCCCCCTCTGAAGACAGGACATTCTGGTTTCATGGGCAGATGCTAATGTTATAATTGAGACAACATGTAAAAAGTTAGGGAGGCCAAATAATGAATTACAGAGAGTCCCATAGCACCTTGTGAGAACACCAAATTAATTATAGTATAATGTTTTGTAGACTCGAGCCTGCTTCACAAATATACGAAATGCTCTGGCTAATTTTGTGTTGTTGTCGATGTTTGTGCGGGTGAAACTTCTTTTTGTTGCTCATTTCTGTATTTCCATATGTTTACAATTGGCATGCTATGCAAGTCACTCCCCAATCAACTTTGTTTTTAAGATGCCGTTCTTCTCCATTGTGTTTCATAATCTCTTGGCTTGGAATGCAGAATAATGATGCATGCGGAGACCATTCTGGGGTGGGGTATTGCCGATAAAGTCCAACAATAACTGATCTTTCCAGAGAATAGAATTAGTTGCAACAGTTCCCCTTGCAACAGATTTCACACCTCTGTGATGCAATTCACAGCTGCTCCCCTCTCTCTAGTGAGGATAAATAGTGGTCACACCATTTGAAACATTGCAATTTATATAGAGAATCCCCAAATCTTGAGGTCCAGATCCCCATTCTTTCTACCCCTGACCAAGTAGGTGTTGTATTTTATTTTATTTTACTTTGTTTCAGTACAAGGTACCTACCATCTACTACATGTGTTTAGGGTTACAGTAGCGAAAACTGAAACACAGTAGGAAGAAATCTCCAATGGACAGCATGGGATGAACTTCTGAGTAAAAATGCAGAGGTTTCTGTTGCACATCCTATTCAAGTAATGAGCACTTTAGCAGAGTACATCAACTTCAAAGATAAGTTCAATGGCATTCCTTATCAATTGAAGCTTACTTCTCTGTCCCCAGTCCCAACCCTTCTGATTGCATTGGGGGGGGCATTAAAAGAGTGGTGAAGAATTGTAGAGGCAGCAAAAAGGACAAGCTGTGATATCAAGGAAAGTAAGAGCAGCAGCAATATGGTCTGTGATCCTTTTGATCCTAAGCTGTATAAGGATTGTGACATGAAGATCTTAGGTTTGAGAACAATGGTTGCCCCTTAAAGAGTAACCTTGGGTTAGATAAATTTTGGAGACTGTCTGCATGATAAACTTGCATTCAACTTTGAGGAAGGAGACAGGACCAATGTTATTATCATTAAAATTAGTACTATCCCTAAACCACTGGAAGAACCATACCACCTTAACTAAAGGATAGATTTTCAGGCTTCTCTGAAATCCATTTTCTCCATATTGTTCTAGGAAACAACTGTGATTACTTCGTCAATTCTTTGTAACTGGAAAATCTGAAGGAGTGGTGACACAAACTTTGACTGTATTGATTCACTTGAAATAATATACCGTATTTCCTGCTCTTATTCCTAAGAAGAGAGGTGTGGAATAATGTAAACAGAGCTTTAAATGTCCTCTCCAATAAAAAAGCAAGCAATAGAATACAAAAGCAAGTACAGTGGTACCTTGGGTTAAGTACTTAATTCGTTCCAGAAGTCCGTTCTTAACCTGAAACTGTTCTTAACCTGAAGCACTCCTTTAGCTAATGGGGCCTCCTGCTGCTGCTGCACCGCCGGAGCACGGTTTCTGTTCTCATCCTGAAGCAAAGTTCTTAACCCGAGGTACTTGTGATGTTAACATATATGAGAGAGTGCTGGAGGGGAAATAGTTAAATAGGTTGTACAGACAGGACCCAGGGGGATGGAGTCAGTGGGTCTATAAAACTAGTTCTGGGAGGAGTTCTGGGAGGAGTTCATTGGGAGTTGTTGGTGGGCAGTTGGTTGGTTTTAGTGGGTTGGCTGGTTGGGAAAGGCAGTTGGAGAAGCAGTTGGGAATAGAGGGCAGTGGGTTCTTGAGTGTGGGGAGGTAGAAGACATAGCGAGAGGAAAATAAGACTAAGAAAGTAAAGAGCAACAACGTTTGGAATGCTGTAAAAGTTTTGTTTGTGTCTGAAATAAAATACACTCTTCTTTATTAATTGAAAAGCTGACTGAGACTGAAGTGATTTTACCAGGGAGGACCTGGTTGGTGGCAGCGGATTAGTGGTGTATGGGTCAATAGTCCATGAGACGACCTGGGGCTCCGTACGAACGCCACAGTACTATTTCTGGGTTAGCGGAGTCCGTAACCTGAAGTGCATGTAACCCGAGGTACCACTGTACTGTATCACAGAAGCCCAAGCAGTTGAGAAGGTTCAGAAGTCTGACTAAAAAGAAAAAGTTTAACTGTCCTCCTATACTTGTTGTTGTTTAGTCGTTTAGTCATGTCCGACTCTTCGTGACCCCATGGACCAGAGCACGCGAGGCACTTCTGTCTTCCACTGCCTCCCACAGTTTGGTCAAACCCATGCTGGTAGCTTCGTGAACACTATCCAACCATCTTGTCCTCTGTCCCCTTCTCCTTGTGCCCTCCATCTTTCCCAACATCAGGGTCTTTTCCAGGGAGTCTTCTCTTCTCATGAGGTGGCCAAAGTATTGGAGCCTCAGCTTCAGGATCTGTCCTTCCAGTGAGCACTCAGGGCTGATTTCCTTAAAAATCAGGGCTGATTCCTCCTATACTTAACCTATACTAAATATTTCACTTAATTTTCTATTTGCTGACTGCTGGTCTATGACTGTAATAAACTGATTGATTGATATTATATCCATTGTGTACATAGATAGAATAGTGCGGTTTGAGGTGTCATTGGCAAGTCCCCTACAATGGCCCCAAGTGGCCATTTAGATCCATAGGCTTGCTTGGCTGCATATAACCATTTGGTTTACTTAAAAGTAAACAAGTGGAAAATCACGTGTCAGCACTTTACTTTCACCAGTGTTACATGGAAGGACAATGAACATGAAAGAGTAATACTGTGTTTCATATGTGTGTCCTTTCTGGTTTGTGGCAGTGGGAAGGAAATCTGCCATGAATGCACAAGCTCTTTGTCAGTCAAGTAAGCCACACTTGACCCAAGGCTCTCTGGCAATGGACTGTGGGAGCAGTGAGCTACTGAGTGCCCCTCGCTGCCTGGAAGCAGTTGGCTCCCCTTCACTCTGTATGATATCTGGCACTGCAACATTTGCCATGCAGCGTCAATGTGAATTGGCCATTGGCTGGCCTGAAGCAAGGAAGGACTGTCCTTCCTTGGAGGTTTCTAAGCAGAGGTTGGATGGCCACCTGTCATGGATGCTTTAGCTGAGATTCCTGCATTGCAGGGGGTTGGACTAGATGACCCTTGGGGTCCCTTCTAATTCTATGATTCTAAGTTAGTGTCTCTGTTTAAGCTACCTCACAGAGTTATGCGAAGGAAGGGTCCCCCAATGCAAGTGACTGTGCAGGGGAGTGTGTTGCCTTTTTAGACTGCAGCTCCGAGTTATAAATTGGAAAATTAAAGGTAGCCCTATTGCCCCACAAGAAACAAAACAAAACCCAAATTTATTTTAGGGCAACTAAGGCCAACGGAATGTGCCCCAAGTGGAAGGCGCACACTCAGTTTTGTAACATTTTGGTTGATGTGGAAATAGGAACAGGTTAGTCAGTTGGCAGCTGGGTTCAGAACAAGGACTGGAGACTTCACGTCAAGCGAAACATTACCATATGTATGAGTGTATCTGAAGAAGTGTGCATGCACATGAAAGCTCATACCAAGAACTAACTTAGTTGGTCTTTAAGGTGCTACTGGAAGGAATTTTGTTTTGTATTACCATATGTAATTATGTATTGTGTAATGTTGCATTTAGTAGTAGTAGTAGTAGTACTGTAGTCGTCCTAGTCCTGGTTTAAGGAGTGCTTGGTGCCCGGAGTTCACAAACAGAAATGACAAAATGAGCAAGCCTCCCCAGATCTGCCCAGAAAAGTGCCCAAGGATGCCAAGACTCCTCTCAGGAAAAGTTGACTAAGCCGGGAAGGCGAAGGCGGGAAGGGAGTCTCCAAAGGAGCCAGCCAGACCTTCCCAGGCAGGCAGCACCCGCGGAACTCGCGGCGGGGGGGTTAGTCCTGATTGGAGGGGGAGTCAAGCTCCTCCCCTCCCCGCCGGGCTGCGCCTCAAGCGCCTCTGTCGGCAGCTGCACTCCCCAGTGCCAGTCAGTGCGCCGAGGGGCAAGGAGCGCGCGCTGCCTTCCCTCATGGAGAGCCTCAGGCGGCGGCGGCGCGCGGGGCAGAGTTGCGCGCGGAGCCTGGGCGCGCTGCTGCTGCTGGGCGCGCTTTGCGCCTGCTCGGCCGGCGCCTTCGAGCTCACCATCCTGCACACCAACGACGTCCACGCCCGCGTGGAGCAGACCAGCCGCGACTCGGGCAAATGCGTCGGGCAGGACTGCTACGGAGGCGTCGCGCGACGCGCCACCGAGATCCGCCGGGTCCGCGCCGCGCAGCGCAACGTGCTGCTCCTCGACGCCGGCGACCAGTACCAGGGCACCGTGTGGTTCAGCTTCTTCAAAGGGCAGGAGGTGGTGCGCTTCATGAACCTCCTCGGCTATGACGCAATGGTAAGCGGGGGGGGGCGAGAGAGGGGGGCAAACCCGTCAGGTGGGGGCGCGAGGGTCTGGCACGCTCCCCCCCCCCAAAAAAAACTTTCTATGGCGCCATTGGGTCCTCCCAACTGGACGTGCTCCAGTATGGAGGGAGGCCATAAGAAATTCTGAGCAGGCATGAGAAGAGGCCGGTTTTCTTTCTTTCCCCTTCATAGCTGAAGGGACTCGGTCTCCCCTCAGGTGGTTGATTGGCAGGCGACAGGTTCAGGGCAGAGGTAATGACGCTCTTCTATTTAGGGTAGCAAAAAGCAAGAGTTGAACCATTTTTTCAAGGTTCCAGGGGTTGGATACTAACCAACAACAAGAGTCATCTCCCTTCAGCTTTTCCACTTTCCGCCTTGATTCTATTTGGTCAGCTTTACTTTGAGGCAGCTTTTCCAAACACTGAGCGCTTCAGATCCTGTAAACACTACCTGCACCATATGCATGATAATAAAATTAAGCTGTGGACCTTAAGAGATCAGCTGGACACCTTGAAGGGAGGAATCCTTTCTTCTTAAGTAGTGGAGAAGGCCAGCAGCCAGCCACAACCAGAAGATGTGAGACTCAGCACTGAGAAGCTCCTCTAGAAGAGGTTGGGATTTGGGAGGAGATGCTCCAGAAAAGCACAACCTGGTGCCTATTCTTTTACCTCCATGTAAGAAAAAAATGAAGCACACCCATGATTTAGCCTAATCTCTGGGTGCAGAGGAGCTGCAGGCCTGCTGTTGGAAAGAAAGTGCTGGAGTAGTTGCACCTTTGTTCAGATCATCCAGCTATCACCTACCTACTGCTGTCGGTTACATGGAACTGCCTCTGAAGACTTGGATGTGTTAATAACAAGCCCAGAATACATATGTGAAGCTGTTAATTTGTATATCCAAAAATGAACCTATCTCGGCAGTACTTAGCAAACTCCACTGGCTTCCAGACTGCTGCTGAGCAGAAATAAAAGTGATAGTGCCATCAGATCAGGACTTTGGGGCAGACATCAAGGGTCCCCCACTCAGAAGAATGAGCAGGAGGGCCTTCAAATGCAGCAGAGCTGGCTTACCACACACTGAAGTAAGTTAAGTAATACACATTCCCATCTAAACAGGAGGAGCCCCTGAAATGCCGTTTTAGACTTTGGACATTAAGTTCAGAGTCTAAAATACTTAGCTGCACCGCTGATTCCAAGTGCTGCAGATTTTTAACCTTTAAAGCTGTAAGTCTGGAACCATGGCATTTGGAAGACCATCTACTATACTGCTATATGCCCTGCTCTAATATTAAAACCATTATTTGAGGCCTGACTTGTGAACTTAAGTTGGTAGCAGCCAGATACGGGATTATTTGATCATGGTGCTCCAGGAGTGAAGTGTCCTTTCTCTTTATGAATTCACCTGATTACAAATTTAATAACTTTTAGCCACAAAATTAAAATGCTTTTATATTTCCAGGGTTGTGTTGTTGTTTTTTAAATGGTTTTTAGACTGCTGCTTAGTTGCCTTAGATTAGAAGATACCAATGTGATTTAGATATGCTGTTTTAATTCTTCGTTGAAGCAGCCTTGGTAATAATTTGATTTTACGTCGAAGCGCTCTTGATGATATTTTATTGAGAGAAGATATAAATACATTTTGATTGATTAATTGTTATGGAGCCTCAAGGCAGTTAGAGGTAGAGTATTTGGAGGGATAGAATAACACATATTGGAAATTCCTCAGGGATACCTCAGGATTACGTCTGCCATTTTCCATGGCAAATGTGCCTTATTCTATGCTGTACATACACACTAGGGAAGTTCTGGCAAGAGCCCATCTTTAGCAGGCTAAAGGCCATCTGGCATCCTCTACTCACCAATTTACCTATGGGAAGCCTCTTAAGTAGGACCTGAGGGCAGCAGTTCTCTTCTCAGCAACTGGTATTCAGAGGCATACTGCCTCCGAATGTGGTTGTAGAACATAGCTATCATGGTTAGCAGCCACAGATAGCCTTGTCCTCCATGAATTTGTCTAATCCTCTTTCACAGCTATCCAAGCTGAAGGCCATCACTACATCTCGTGAGAGTAAAATCTGATAGTCCCACAGAAGGCACTATGCATTGACAGAAGAAGAGCTTTGTTTTGACTGCCCTGATTCTTCCAGCAATTCAGTTTCAATTGATGGCTACAAGCTCTCACAGTATAGGAGGGAGAGAGAGAGAGAGAGAGAGAGAGAGAGAGAGAGAGAGAGAACCCCTCTCCCAATTCTCTTTCTCCATATCATGCATAATTTCATATACCTCTGTCAAGGTATATAAGGTCTAGTTCCAAATCAGTTACCACCAGTTCAGGTCCCATGAGCATATATGTGAAATTAGAATTCTTTTGCCCCAGTGTGCATCACATTGCTCACATTGAATTATTCCTAGCAGCGGCTATTAATAAGACAAAACAGTGCAAGACCAAAGATGGACGTAGAAAACGTAATTCCACATGGGAAGACTGTTGGGATGATGAAGAAATAGTGAACCAACACCTAATACTATCCCAAAATCCAGTGCTGTTAACAACTGTACTGCCTGCTTCTTCCATAACTTGCGAGCTTTGTCCAGTGTAATTGTCATGGTATCCTATCTTAACGTGATTATATTAAATGATTGTTGCCCCTTGTATCCTCGGGGTATATACTTTCAGGAAACACTTCTGCCGGTTGCGCGTAGGAATTTGCCGTTATTCTGGCCTCTAGAAAAAAACACACTCTTAAATGTGTCACTGAATCTAGAAAGGTGGCTATTTTGCTTTGTGACAACAGCCTGCTCACATCTGTTCCACTTATCAAACCTCTGCAGGCAGTGTGGCAGCAAGGAGTTAAGCACTTGGCACTAAACTTAAGTGAATGGGAATATAAGATTACTTGAAAGAAAATGTGTGAGAGAAGGCTGGGATGGATACTGGACTCATCTCTTCTTCTCATTCTGTGGTGTGAATTGCAGTACATCCTTTCATTCCGATCAATATGAAAATCTCTAGGAAGAGAAGGTCTTTTAATCTGTTTTTGTGAGATGAGAGAGCAACAGGAGACGTAGATATATAACTTGCAGTGTCTGGGCAAGGGAACATCTTGTCCTCCTTTTATCCAAGCGTTGGCTGGCACAGCAGAGCCATCGGATTTGAGATTATTATGCCATACCTCGTTCCCTCTCCTAAGCAGCACAGGGTTAGGGTGGAGATTTTGGGGGCCAAGCTAAAGCCAGTCCCATCTTTGCTTGGCACTACTGGTTTTGGTTTCTGGATAAATGACAAAAAAAACTATTGCATAAAGATACATGGGATGTGGTTTTGGATCCCCAAATTGCTTTTCTTTGGTGAAATCTGTTTAAGCATAGTGGGAACTATTTTGAAATAATCTGTAAAAAGAAATGAAATGTACAAGATTGAAAGAGTCCTGCTCTCAATTATATGTGCAAAGTAAAAGCAGATGTTTGTTTCAGTCTCAAAGCATACAGAAAATTCTGGAATGTGTACAAGCCAGATTCTAAATACTTCATTGCTGAAAATTTCACTATTTGCTTAGATGCTACTTTTATAATATACAGATTTTATCTGCTTTTATTGGGAACACATAACATGTGGGCGATCAGCTCTGGACAAATCAGGCTTGTAATCAGTGCTCAGTTGTTTTGCTCAAGCTTTCATTCTATTTTAAGCATGTGAAGTATCATATATTTTAAATCCATTCTAGGTCTTGTTCTGGGCATTTTAAGTAGCTTCAAGTTGTTTGTTTCCACATCCAAATCACAGTGTGGGCAGCTCTCTTTGGTCTGCACTGCACTTGTTGTGGAGAAAAGAGGGTAAACATGACTTCAGCACACTGCAACATAGTACAATGCGTTATCTGGTGCCTTCCATGCAGACCACAATAGATGAATAGGTGCCTACTGTAAACAGATACAAACCTCTCTGAAAGTATTATTGAGCCATATTGCGGTTAGCTGTGTAAATATGTTTATCAGCCTACCATGTCAGTCCAACTTAATAACACTACATGTAGAATACAGTATCATGTTTATAACATTGTATCCTGCCCTAAGCACACAAGGGACAGGGATGCAAGACCAGGCATTGCCTGAACGGTGTGTTTCATATTTCAAGAATCCCTGTCATTGCCTAAAAGGGTGGAAATCGGAGGAATGATTTGCCCTGGGAAGTGTAGAAGGAAGCTGCTTGGAAATATTGGCTCTTCAGAGTAGCTTGTTACACCATGGCTTAAAAAAAGAGAGCAATAAATTACAGGGATATATTTGCATACATTTCCAAATCTTTTCTGCTGAAGGCATGGTGAGTAGGCACATATTTTGTCATGCTATGCAGTGTTGATTGGTCAGCTTGATCTTTGGCTCAGGAAAAAAAGGGTGCAAGATCATTCAGTTGCTTACTGGTCTTCAAAATTAAACCAGGAAGAGGGTAGAAGGATAAAGACAGCAGGATAAAAGTCCCTTTCTTTTCCTTCAGCAAGCACTATCATCTTGAAGTGCTTTTTACAGTTATACAGGGTGAGTCCTTTAAAAGAGGCCTGTGGATACAGAGTACACATGTCCCACGGGGCCTCTTTTAAAAGACTCAACCTATAGTTGAAACTGAAGTCAGGCAACTGCTACACCCAAATACGTTCCTATGGTGAGCAGTCTGGTTAAAGATGGTTATGGGAGAGCCTTGATTTCAACCTTGCAAAAAGATAAAGAAATTTAAGCATTCTAAAGAAATTATTGAGGGCCACTGAAATTCCAAATATTTTAAATTCTTAAATACAATTACTCATTGGCTCAAAATTCCAAATCTAGTCCATTGTGACAATTGGAGAGGATGCTGACACTGTTCTTGTTTGAAAATGGGGCTGAGGGACTTATTCACCTCCATATATTGCTGGACTCCAACTTCCACCAGGCTTGACCATTGGTCACACCGGCCTGGGGGTTTTGGGAGTGGAAGTACAGCAATATTTAGAAGGCCACAGGTTTTTAAATTTTAGCATTTCAGAGGCTGAAGAACTGTGTTGATGCACCTCCAAATATTAGTAGCTGAACTGAAATAGATGTAAGAGAGCTTGAAAAGATACTATTTGGGTATAGCATACTGTTCATGTGTTAGAACTGGGTGGATCACAGCGTAGATTTTAAAATATGTCATTATGCTGTACTTTGCTTTTCATGATTGCGGGAACTTCTTGTCAATAAAAGATTCTATTTTTCTTTTCTTTTATGTTGTGCAGACAATCGGGAACCATGAATTTGACAACGGTGTGAATGGATTATTGGATCCACTGCTGAAAAATGTTAAGTTTCCTGTTGTAAGTGCAAACATTAAAGCAAACCAGAAACTAGCAAGCAACATCACAGGATATTTCCTTCCTTACAAAATTCTGGAAGTTGGCTCAGAAAAAGTGGGAATTGTTGGCTATACCTCAAAGGAGACACCTGTCCTTTCAAATCCAGGTATTCTTTATTTTAATGCTTATGTAGAAATTATGCAAATAAATATATTTATTTTGAATCATGTGACTCCCACCCTATTTTATTTCTTCTTCCTGTAGCAATTATATTAAATGGTGCTCAAAGTAAGATAAAAAGTGAGCACCAGATATGTGTGACTATAGTGGAATCAGATGATAGAACCTTCCCCCCCCCCATATATATATACACACACATACACGGTTTTCATCTATTTAGATCTTTGTTTAATTATCAGCTTAATGTGTCATCCAGTCACAGGCATCTGGGCAGGTCTCAAAGATTATGAGAGGAATTCAACATTGTGCTAAGGATACCTCTCCTCCCTTTCGACTGTTGCCCATAGACTGGCCTTCACCAAAGCGAGGTTCAACGTTTTCCCCTCCAATGTCCTGAGACATAGATTCTCAAAGGGCCAAGCCCCCGCCACGTGCAAATGTGATAAGGTGACGCCGGAGTCGCTCCAGCACATTATGTTCACTTGCCCCTTGTTCAATGTGCCACGGGCAAATTTGTTGGGATCAATCATACAGAAACTAGAGGGTACCCCACCAAAATTCCACCTTGCCCAAATCTTGCAGGATAAGGATTCCCACACGACCCTGAAAGTGGCTAGGTTCCTGGTCGCTGTCCTCTCCCAAAAGCGACGCCAAGGAGCGCTACAAGCTAATTAAGGCGTAGCATGCCTTTCCATCTTATAGTATTTATTGTTATAGTGGTGTTTTAGCGATTGTTTTTTTCTTTTCCCCACGGCACAAGCTGTCACTTATGCGTTGTTTTTACCTGTATGGGCCTATGGCCGTAAAAAAAAAAAAAATTGTGCTAAGGCAGTCATCAAGACAAGTACCGTATGTTCTGGTGTATAAGACGACTTTTTATCCCTGGAAAATCACCCCAAAAGTCGGGGGTCATCTTATATGCCGGGTATACGCTTTGGGAAGGAGGAGAGGAAGCCAGTGAGCAGAGGCGCCCCTTCAGCCATCGCTCCTCCTCCCTCCCCACAGAAGGGGACGCGGAAAGTCCTTCCGAGCGCGGCGCTCGCTCGCCTGCCCGCCAGCCAAACACCTCGCCTTGGGCTGCTGCTGCTGCGATGGCAGAGGCAGTGGAGGGGTGCACGCTCTGCCCCTGGCAGCACTCACACTCTATAACTCTAAAACTCTAAAATTGAACAGCAAAAGTTGGGGGTTGTCTTAGACGCCCAGTCGCCTAATACACTGGAATCTACAGTATTTTGGCTTGCCAGATGTATGCTGTTCTAGGGGTTCTCTTGACACACCCCAGCCAGTTATAGTGGGTGGGTGGGGAGGAGAGGGGAGGGGAGGGGAAGGAAGACCCATTGCAAAAGAGAACAGGACTCGTTATTTGAAACCTGCCCAATGGTTATTTAATGGTTAATTAGTTAGTAATTTCTACCAGGAGTCATTAGCTCGGATTCATATCTTCCTGTACTGTTCATGTGTATTTCAAAAAAACACATCTGTCCTCTGGTGAAAGATCTGGGGCTTTTTGTAACCTCTCCCTTTCCTCCTTGGGGAAGAATTGTGAAATCACCTTGTCCAAGCAACTTAAGACATTTGCATGAATTTCAAAAGGATATAGATATATAGGCTGTACAAATGCAAAATCATCAGGCCAAGAAAGCTGCATTTGCTCTGAGCTAAAAGGAAATGCCGCTCTTTACTCCAGAGCCCAGAGCAAAAGGCTGTTGGCTTTATTAGCTACCAGATGGTGTTCCATGCAGCTCAGCCTTTTGCTTTTCTGGGAATCCTTTCGTGTATCATTTCCATTATTATTGTGAGAACATGGAACAAAGCCTAAGCTATTGCTCAGTGTCATACAAACCCGGGGCCAAAATGAGAGCAGCCTTTTTTGTTTAGACACGTGTTCTTCATTCATGTCCAATAGCCGATATCCACTGCTATTTCATATCCAGGAGTAAGGAATTGCTGATTGATTGCATGTTAGCAAACTGCTACATAAATGCTTTGGTGAATGAATACGTTCTGTAGCTGTTCTAGTACTGACTAATAATGGGAACATAAAGAGCCTGCTAATAGTTCCAAAATTAATAATGGGAACATAAAGAGCCTGCTAATAGTTCCAAAATTAATAATGGGAACATGGTTTCCTGATTCTACTCTAATGTTGGCACATTATTTATGGTCTTCTTGTTTCTGAAGGTGTCTGGAACACTGGCGGCTAGGGTAGATTGGATCTTCTTATTAGCATTATTTTTGTGGGGATAGCTTGCTGCATAATGTTTTAACTGATATTACCCCTACCCTCCAGAGCTGGTTTGGGGAGAGTGTACAGTGTGTGCTGGGGGCAAGGAGATGTTCCCCCCCTTTTAAAAAAAAGTTTTAAATTATAAGTCTCATTTATATATATGACAACAATTATCCAATCATAATTTTAGCATTTTAAACTCCGGCTCCCTTCCCCCTCTTTCTGTGGTTCTTTACCTTTCTTTTCATCTTCCTGCATACTCCAAATTATCTCAACATATTCTTTTATGTATCTATTCCCATATATATCCCATATATATATATAGAGAGAGAGAGAGAGCAGGTATTTACAGTAATCCTGCCAATGTCTTAATCTGTTTACAGTTTGTTTGTAAACACTCAAAAAACCATTTCCATTCCTGTCTAAAAAGAATTGTTTCCTTGATTTCTTATTCTCCCGGTAAGTTTCGCCATTTCTGTGTAGTCCATTAACTTCTGTTTCCAATCTTCTCTTGTCAAGACCTTGGGGAGATGTCCCCTTGCAGAAGTGGAAGTTGTTCTGCTTGCACAGTGATTTTATTTGAATACCATCCACTTTCTGCTAAAGCAACCAAATGATTTCCTGTCATATGAGGGATCCACAGAACTATGGAGCTAGCAAATTAGCAATGTATCAGTGTAACTTCCATTACAGTGGTACCTCAGGTTAAGTACTTAATTCGTTCTGGAGGTCCGTTCTTAACCTGAAGCACTACTTTAGCTAATGGGGCCTCCTGCTGCTGCCACGCCACCGGAGCACAATTTCTGTTCTTATCCTGAAGCAAAGTTCTTAACTTGAAACACTGTTTCTGGGTTAGCGGAGTGTGTAACCTGAAGCGTATGTAACCTGAAGCGTATGTAACCTAAGGTACCACTGTACTTGAAAGGAACTTGTTAAACCAAGAGAGAATGTTATGTATAGTATATACGTTATATATGTATAATATATTTGTTCATGTGCTTTGGCAAATCATTTTGTGAGAATAAAATAAAATACAAAACATTAATGCATTTTTTTCTGGATTTTTAGGGCCGGATTTAACATTTGAAGATGAAGTTACAGCATTACAGCCACAAGTGGACAAACTTATAACTTTAGGAGTCAACAAAATCATTGCACTCGGTCACTCTGGTTTTACTGTGGACAAAAACATTGCTCAAAAAGTGAGAGGTGTGGATGTTGTAGTTGGGGGACATACAAACACCTTTCTTTATACAGGTATGTCATTTCCTTGGCAAAAAGAGGGGATTCTGATTGGTTAGTACTTATTATTGTAGCTATGTTTGTAGCTAATTATTGTAGCTATGTCTCAGCAGTTATAACAGGGTGCTAAATATTTAATTCTTCGTGCTCGACATTGTGATGCAGCTAGGCATGTTTGGAAGAAACTGTCGTGGGAACTGAACATTTGAAAGTATAAGATTAAACCTTGAAACTACTCTAGTGTAGAGGGTTTTTTTTCTCCTGATGTCCTTCATCAGCCTTTCCTAACCTGGTGCCCTTCAGATGCTATAGGCGGGGTTCCTCAAACTTTTTAAACAGGGGGCCAGTTCACTGTCCCTCAGACACTGTTGGGGGTTGGACTATAGTTTGAAAAAAAATACGAACAAATTCCTGTGCACACAGCACATATTTTATTTGTAGTGCACAAAAAACAGGAAAAACAATACTATATTTAAAATGAAGAACGATTTAAATCAACATAAACTTATAAGTATTTCAATATGAGAGAGAGAGAGAGAGAGAGAGAGAGAGAGAGAGAGAGGAGGGTGACCAAATAAGAGGGAGGAAAGGAAAGCATCTGGCTGCTCCTCCCTCAGTGCCCTCCAGTGAGAGACCCAGTGCCCCGGACCCGGCTGCAGCACTGGCGATAGCCGCTGCGCCTTCGCGCTATGCCCACATTTCCACAGGCCTTCCTCAGAGCCGGCTCCTCTGGGCTTGGCTCCAGGCCTGGCTGGTCCATGGGCCAGTCCCGCCCCCTTTGGACCTGCTTCACCTGGCAACTGAAGAGGAGGAGGAGGTGGTGTGTGTGTGTGTGCGGAGAAGGAGAAGCCAGGCGGGAGGGGGGATTGTGGTCACTGCCACAGAGGCTGCCGCCGAACCAGCGGTCCCTTCCTAGTGGTTTGAGGGAGCTGCCACTAGTGCCAGCAGTCTCTCTCTCTCTCATGCACACACACCCCTCCCTGGTGTGCCCATGCGCACGCGCACCTGGGATTGCAATGGGATTGATGGGCAGTCAAGTGGGATGGGGCTGGAGAGTGTGGTCTGAGGAGAAGCCGGAAAGGATTGGCCCCAGCTGCTTGCAGTAGTAGTGGTTCAGAGGGAAGGAGGGAAGGAAGCTCACGTTGGCTGTAGCCATCTGGGCAACAGGAAGGAGGAGTGCTATGGGTTCTGCAATTGCCAGGCAGGCCGGGTTCAGGACCCTGGCGGGCCAGATTTGGCCCGCGGACTGTAGTTTGAGGACCCCTGCTATAGGAATCTTAACTCTCTATAGCCTCAGCTAGCATGTCCAATGGCCATGAATGAAGGGACTTGTAGTCTATCAGCATCTAGAAGGCATCATGTACACAATGGGGGTAAGATGCCCAATGAACTGACTAGGTCTAAGCAGACATTAATAGAATTGTGCTGTTATTTGAGAAGCATAAAAGATCAATGAAATATCAGCAACACTTCTTGTAGGTTCAGTGACACTTCTTGTTCAGTTTTTTACGTGTTTCTTTTTTTAACATCTTGAATTTACCTTGGTCATAGCTTTCAGTCTTTTATTCATTCATCAGAGTTTCATTTTCTCCTCAGGAAGTGGTTGGCTTTTGGTTTGCTGCTAAGCACTAAGGATGCTGGGCCTTTTTCCAGTGGCTTGCATAGCTGTACACAAATGAATCATGTCTCTGTCCTCTCCTGTTTCTGCTTGTGTCTATGTGTCTTTCCTGCCCTTGGTCCAGAATAAATATGAACTTTGTCTCACTCTCTCTCTCTCCCGTCTTACACCTTCCTCCAGGATTGTTTAGTGATTTCTCCAGCCTCCCTCATACTAGATCAGGGTAAACTTTCCTGTGTGTGAAATGTTCCTCTCAAATGGTGGTTTGTTTTTAAAACCTTTCAGAAATAGTGGTGGGATAACTCACCTCAGCAATATTCAAAATTGGCTCAGAAATTGGAAACTTTTCCAGGATGTGTTCAGAAAAAAACAACATTCCATTTCCCACTGTTCACTCTATTCTAATTATAACATTGGTCATGTACAGATGGCACAAACACTTTGCTTTTTTCAGATATACCTGTAAAGCTTCTGGCTTTCAGAACCTGGTTTGCTGAATGCTTACCAAGCATTCACAGATTATTGTTGTATATCTGATTGGGAGTGAAACTTTTAACCTATAGTTTCCCCCACAATAGCCACGCTATGGAATTTATTTGCTAATGAGAGTCTTCAGCTTTTTATAATACTCCCCCCCCCCGAACTTCCACAATTTTATAGGGAGGATTTGACTATAAAAGGCAAAGTTGATGGAGCTGAGTGAAGCTTTGGGTTTTCTTTTGAACATAGTTTGCTCTGATTCCTGTTTAGAATTTCTTCCCAGTCTTTTGATTTATTTTTATTTTGCTGAAATGGGCAAGAATCTCATCCCAGTGGCTTCCCTTTTGCCTAAACGTGAGCATAGAAACCTATTTCCTTCCTTGGTCCTCTTTCTATCTCTAGCAGGGATAGACTTTGATTCCCTGGATGTTCTGTTTGCCTTTAGCTGGGCCAAATTGAAAACATTTTGATTTCCTAGTTGTTCTTAGCATGGGCAATGCTAATGCCTTTGTCCTGCTACTTTAATGTTTTAGTGTACATGTGTATTCAATAGCTATGGGTGCATACATTCCCACTCCTTTGCATTCTTCACTATATAAAATGGTGTGTGCAGAGCCCAACCTCAAAAACTAGTAAAACCGCATTTATTGAATACAGTTCAGAAAACAAAATAGCTTGCAGGTACAGTCTCTCTGTCTCTCTCGCCCCACCCCTGCACTGCAAGAGCCGTAGTTACAGAGATGGGTATTCTTAGTGCTAGGTTGGCAGTCTAGGAGTTCAGAGTGCTGAAGAGGTAGCATTGAGGTCAGGCAGGGTGTTGTGATCAGATGACTCATGCTGCTCCAGGTGGATCTAGATAGACTTCACACACATATATCTGGCAAAAGTTATGTCTTTCACCCAGGATCTCATATACTTTTTCCCAGCTATGAGGGTTTCTCAGCTCTATGTTCCTCAAGCCACTCTATATCACACACTTTGTTACTCTGACCACAGACTGACATTAGTCTAGTAACACCAGTGCTGATTTGGGGGTCTTTTTCCGGGCAGAAGTCACACTTACTTTAGTTATAAGGGTGTAGCCGGGTGCTGTGCTGTTGTTTATCAATGGGAAATGAGATACCTCAAACTCTGAAGTGTGTCTTTTTTTAGTTTTACATACCAGAATTTCTGATGAAATTAACATTGCAAGTTGCCTCCTTCCTGGTCTGAGCATTCTTTACTAAGCTAAACATTCATTCTCACACACACCATTTACAGATCGTTCATAATGCATTGTAGGGATTGAAAACTTCTGTAGAAATATAAAGGCACTTTATAAAGAAAAGGTAGAGAGTTTATTCTTAGAAGCTTGGGTAGAAGCATTGAAGCCTTTTTTTAAAGGAAGAAGATGAGTTCACTAATACATTACTTGACATAGAAAGAACATACATGTGTATACACATCCAAAAAGCATACCTAACATTTTGATAAGTGCACCAAGCCTAGCCTTTACATTAATTTCCCAATTTGGAACATGCAGCATTGTGCTTGTGACTGATACTGTTATACTTTGCTGACAAACCTCTGAATATTAGAATCATAGAGTTGGAAGGGACCACAAGGGTCATCTAGTCCAACCCTTTGCAATGCAGGAATCTTTAGCCCAACGTGGGGCTCGAACCCACATCCCTGACTGAACCCACAGCTCTGCTGACTGAGCTATCCCTCAGGATATATATTCTGAATATTGAGCATCATATGAATACCTGAAATAAAAGGAAGTCTGAACATTATTAAGTTTTATCTCTTGTCACAACTGGTGCTTGGCTAAGCACATATGCAGGTGGAGCTATTTAGACTCTACAGGCTCTTTGGCCTATTGAAATGTTCCAAATTGTGTTGTTGCTGTTGAAATGGATTTTGTTGTTGCTGTTGAAAGTTGAGAAACCAGCAGCAGCTACATGTTGCGTTTTCTGGCACTATTAATGAGTGAATTTGGGAGCTGTCCAGGAGTCTAGTTCTGAGACAAGTAGAGAGATCAGTGCCTGCATTCAGAAAGAATCATTCATGGCAACGAGATGCTGGGTGTAGAATATAAAATCTAGTGGCAGTGTTTTCAGTGCACCCATCAATGTCCTAGTAGCACTTTCAGTCAGAAATATATTTATTGCCTTAATCACTGATAATGTTCTGCAGTGAAACATACCGCCTTTAGAAAAGGAATGTGGGAGCGAAATAAAATGAACCTTTTTAAAAAAACAAACAAACCCACTTCTGCTGAAGTGTGTGTTTAGTGACACAGCATCTGAACCAAACAGTGCACATGAGGTAATTGAAAAGGAAAAAGTTCACCATTTGGGGACTTACATCTCACCATTTATTATTTTTCTGTTAGGAAAGAATAACATGTTTTTCTCCGGGCTCTCAAAAGCCAAGCAGTCAAAGGGATGAATCATGTGGATGTCCAGTGCATGTGTGCATCAAGGCTTTTCCTGACCCTCATTTCTCTTTGCCCCTGAAGATGTGAAGTGTGACATGGTGCAGGAAGATTTATGTATTCCCTTCCCTACCTTTTCAGGGTGACTAACATTAGCTAAGAATAAAACAACTGCAAAACAGCTAATGCTACATTTTTGAAAATGCACAACCTGATTGCTGATTGTTTTTATTAAGGTTAGGTGTATTTGGATCCTAAATCACTAATGCTGGGGATTACACCCAAATAGAATTGAATTGTATATAGAAGTGATATATATATATAATTCTCAAAACACAATTAGTGCTGGTGAGCAGAATGGAAGCCTCTGATTCCCCTGATCAGCTGCTGAATAGAGTAGGAGCTGAGGAAAGGGGAACTGCCTGATGACCCACAGACATTGTTGAATGTTTCAGAGTGAAGCTCCAAATCAACTGTTGACGTGGGAAAGAAGGGAGAAGGGAATGATCTGACAACTTGCCTAGATGCTGTATACATGTTATGTTTCTTGCTTTCACACACAAGCAATTTCTTTCTGCACCCTAGATATCACTATCAGTTGATGTGCTTGCCTCATCAGTATTCAGGACTTCCTTTGAAAGCTAGGAAGGGAGAAAAGGTCATTCATTCTCTGGCCACTTTTACAGGCACCCCACCTTCAAATGATATACCAGCTGGTAAATATCCATTTACGGTGAAGTCAGATGATGGGCGTGACGTTCCTGTTGTTCAAGCTTATGCTTTTGGAAAATACCTTGGCTATTTGAACGTTGTGTTTGACGACGAAGGAAAAGTCATTAGAGCGTCTGGAAACCCTATCTTACTAAACAGCAGTATTCCTGAAGGTATGTATGGGAAGGAGAATTTTATTTCCTGTAGGTCGCCTATTTATAACATTGATGATTACCTAATTTAAGTACTAGATAAATGCATGATGTCATGCGTCGTGTTATTGCTCCTCCTCCTTTTACTCTGGGTTGGATCCAAAGTTGTCTTTCCGCAAACGGAACAGCTCCCTCCCTTTTGTAGAAAGGGCTGAAATATGGTGGAGTCTCCTGTTGTAGGAGGAGGAATGATTTTTGCAGATTCTCCCTTCCTCCTGTATTCCCCACCCCTGGTGCCAAGTTGAGTACTGTTCCAGAGGGTCTCTCGGCACTCCAGAGCAGCTTCTTCAGGGCATGTGGGCAAAATGAGTGAAAAATCACCTCCCTCCTGCAGGGAGTATGTGGTAACCGTTGCTCCAGTTATGAGAACTCAGGATCTAGCCTTCTTTCCTTTTCTAAAATAAATTATGCGAGATGGCCATGAACTCACATTATGCCCACTATAAATTAAATATATATTTATATATAAAGTATTTTGTTTTAAAGTATATAATTTCACACACTATTTTTTTTAAAAAACAAACAAACCCAGAAGCATATTCCCCCAAACTTAAGACTGGTTCTAAAGAGTTACTCTAGGCACATCCAAAGGTTTGGACACAACTAGTGGGAATTTGACTTTTGACTTTTTTAAAAACCTGATTCTGATATATCACATCTGCTTCTGAAAGTCTGCTTGGTTCTAAAAGAAGTTAGCCATACTGTATGGCACAGAATAGGGGAGGGCTGCTTTTAAGAAAACCAAGTTAGTGGCTGTATGACTCCTTTGGATTCAAACTATTGCAAGCTGGAACTTTGTTGGGAGTATTCTGGAGTGCAAGTCTGAAAAGAACCCTGAACTAATGTCTGCAGATAAACAAATATGCCATCCTCATCAGTCGCCTGGCCAGTAATAACCTTCAACATGCCCTACTTCTTTTTTAGCTGAGGATGTGAAAGCAGAAGTTGACAAGATGCATCTTCAACTACAAAATTATTCTTCCCGGGAAATAGGAAAAACGATTGTTTATCTAAATGGTACAAGTCAAGCATGTCGCTTTCAAGAGTGCAACATGGGAAATTTAATTTGTGATGCTGTGGTAAGATAATAATCCAGGTTACTTTAAGTGGTTCATTATTTGATATTTAAAGTCTAAAGTGTTTCATATAAAGTCTGAGCCTCTTGGGCTTGCTGATCGGAAGGTTGGTGGTTCGAATCCCCGTGACGGGGTGAGCTCCCGTTGCTCTGTCCCAGCTCCTGCCAACCTAGCAGTTCAAAAGCATGCCAGTGCAAGAAGATAAATAGGTACCGCTGCGGCAGGAAGGTAAATGGCGTTTCCATGCACTTTGGTTTCCATCACGGTGTTCTGTTGCACCAGAAGCGGTTTAGTTATGCTGGCCACATGACCCAGAAAGCTGTCTGTGGACAAACACTGGCTCCCTTGGCCTGAAGTGAGATGAGCACTACAACCCCATAGTTGCCTTTGACTGGACTTAACCATCCAGGGGCTCTTTACCTTTATCTTTTATATGAAAGATGTGGTTTTGTGGCCAGGGTTGCTTATCTTCACTTGGGGTTCAGCTGGCTATGAAATTGTTATGCTTTTGGTCTTGTTAGTCCTTCCTGTGGACATTGAAACTATCGAACAGAAACTGCTGATTGCACAACTGTAGAATTAGCTAATTGTTCACTAGTGACAAAAGCCTGAAACAGCTTGAAAGCTATAAGTCCCAAGCTTTTATAAAGGTGTTGGACTTTCACTTCTGCATGTCTTTCTTTTTCCTTCCAGACTTGCCTCTGGGAATTTTTTCTTAGGATCCATACAGGTCTTTTTGGGTGACATTGCTCACCATTATAACGTATTGGCAGTTCCTTTTGCTGCCTGGGGCTGACACCCATGGCACATTCATCAATATGTGAGTACTGGCATCACATCACATCACATTTTTGATAGCTTTAAATCACAACAGATGGAGACTGTCACCATGTAAAGAGGTATTTGTGTGCAGCAGCTCTTGGACTGAGCTATTTACTCCAGAATATACCAAATTACAAAGAATGAGAGAGATTGTGGTGGCAAGGGACTGGGAGAACTGTCAGTTGTGAGTCACTCACACATGAACAGCTAAATCTTGGAGTAGTAGGTGGACTAGCCTTCAGGATATTCTTTTAAGTGTGCAAACTTCCTTACTGTATTGGTTGAGTAACCTCTAAAGCAACCAGGTAAAGGGGATTCATTCTGGGCTTCCATAGGTAAAGGGTAAAGGGACCCCTGACCATTAGGTCCAGTCGTAACTGACTCTGGGGTTGCGGCGCTCATCTTGCTTTATTGGCCGAGGGAGCCAGAGTACAGCTTCCGGGTCATGTGGCCAGCATGACTAAGCCGCTTCTGGCGAACCAGAGCAGTGCACAGAAATGCCATTTACCTTGCCGCCGGAGTGGTACCTATTTATCTACTTGCACTTTGAGGTGCTTTCGAACTGCTAGGTTGGCAGGAGCAGGGACCGAGCAATGGGAGCTCACCCCGTTGCAGGGATTTTAACCGCTGACCTTCTGATCGGCAAGTCCTAGGCTCTGTGGTTTAACCCACAGCGCCACCTGCGACCCTCTAAAGCAGCCAGGGAAAGGGGATTCCTTCTGGGCTTCCATAGTTGCCTTGTAAAAAACTGAATATAAGGTTTGCACAATTAATTAGGTTGATCAGGCATTACCGTCCTGTCATGGAAGTGTCTAAAGGGCTCTCCACAGAAAATTACTTGACTTGTTTGTACAGGCTAATGATTCATGAACAATCATTGACTAGGAGAGGTGTCATATTTAATTGATTGCACTAATTTGTTTGGACGAGAATGATATCCCTTCTACAGCTAATTATTAGTAGACTTAGTTAAACATTGACCACAGATTGGTTTAGGGCATCATTCAGTTGATATGCAGTGCATTAATGACTTAACGTTCCTGTGTCAGATTGCAATTTAATTTCTGCCAATGCTGTTCTTGGAAAAAAGATACCCAGTTGTATTCTTACAGAGGCTAGTTGGAAAACTAAAAGTGATTCTGTGAGGTTTACAGAGTGATCCTTAGAAGTAGATCCCATTTTCTTTAATGCTGTATGTAAGTTATGTTTAGGACTTCAGCCTCAGAATTATTATTTTTAAAACCACCACTCTTGATTTATTAAAAATCATTATATACTGCTTTGTATTGAAGAAATATCCAAAAAGGTATACAAAATCAGTAAACTGTAAAAACACATCATAAAAAATAAGCACTATAAAAACTGAAGTGTAAAAAGTCAATACAATAAACTGTGGACAGCCAGGAATAAGAAACCTGCAGTCTCCATATGCCATTGGACTACAGCTCCCATCATCTCTGACCACTGGTCATGCTCAAATGTGAGTTTGTTATGATTTAGTTATTAAATTTCTGCCTTTCCTCCAGGGAGCTCAAGACAGTATATGTAGCCTTTCCCCACAACATACTTCATCGTGGAACCCCCTTGAAATCTCACACTTATGTGGAGATTGGAGGTGGTGTGTAACAATACATTTGCCTGTGTGCACCTTATAAGAACTACGACGTCAGGTTTAGTATTCAGTTTGTAAGCAGGGAGAAATCCCCAAAGATTACTTGCTGTTATAGACGCACGTACCCACCAAATTATCCCCAATTGTGAAACAGAAATACAACAGCAGAAAAAGAGTGCTGTAGACTTTTCAACGGGGGGGGGGGGGGAATGCCATGCTTGCATTTCCCAGAATAACCGCACATGTAAAAAAAAAACCTGAAATTTTTCTTATTAGATCTCCACAAGCCTGTGTTGGGCTGGGACCGGGAAGCTCCAGGTTCAGATCCCCCCCCCCTATAATAAGTTCACTTGGTGTTTTGGGCTAGCTACTATCTCTCAGCCTTGCCTACTTTACAGGGTTGTTGGGCAGGTAAAAGAGGGAGAGGGAAGAACCTGTACATTGCCTGAATTCCTTAGATAAAGAGTAAGGGATAGGTGGAAATGAAACAAATAAATAAATAATGGATTCTATCCTATGTTGATTCCATACCAAGTCCATTGATATAAATGAATTTTAGTATACTATGAATGTTCTTTAGTCTTTAATTACAGTTGTTTTATTTGTGTAAGTAAACGATTTGTTGCTAGATAATATCCCAGTTTCCCCCTTCCCCCATCACTTTATAAGATGTTTTCCTTTGCTGGCTTTGAAGCTGAGATAAAGCGCAGACTGAAACTGATGGGATTTTTTTTGTGTGTAAATGTTTTAGGTTTACAATAACCTGAGACATCCAGATGATAAGCAATGGAATCATGTTTCGATGTGCATCATAAATGGTGGTGGAATACGGGGACCCATTGATGAACAAAGCAAGAATGGTAAATCTAGGTTTCGGGCTTTTTCTTCCCCATGGGAATGATGCTAAAATTTCCTCTTCATACCCCACATTTCTCTCAATAAGATAATTAGTTTTAGGGATTCTTATTTTAGAGCTTATCTACTATATCTCACAATGCTTTTCTTGGACAAAGATTTTACTTTCGCCTCCCCTTTGAACATACATACATACCTTTCTAGCGTATGCCTTTAAAACCAATCTTACACCTATTCAGATATATAATATACATTTCTGGATGCTGAAACGCTGGGGACCAATTTAATGATTATTGTTTTCATACGAAGGCTTGTGAAACACTTGGAGAATACCATGATCCGTACCAAATGGGTCCTTCCCATTTGGAAAATCCCCATGCCATAAGCTTGTACATGGTAGCCCTGCCCTGGGGACGCTCCACATGTTACAAGGGATTCTGCTGCTTTTATGGCTTAATTGTTCCTTTTTGTTTTGAATTTTATACTATAAGCTGCCTGGAGACTCTGATAAATGTGGGGGTAGAACTATCAGAAACATATTTATTTATTATAATATTCTTACTCTTTATCCTGTGAATTTAGGGTGGCATAAGCAAGGTTCTCATGTTTACAGTCCCTGCAACAAGCTTGTGCCGTAAGATAGACTGCAAGATTGTGACTTGTTGGAAGGCAGTCAGTGAGCTCCACTGCTGACCAGGGGTTTGAACTCAGCCCTTCTCTTGTCTACCGCTTATATCTACAATATCATAGTCTCCTAAAGTGAGAAATAGAACACAAAACCGATTGTTTTATGAAACGTCCTGTCCCATTCAGGAACTATTACTTTGGAAGAGTTGCTGTCCGTATTGCCTTTTGGAGGAACTTTCGATTTGCTGCAGATCAAAGGCTCTACTCTGAAGGAAGCATTTGAACATAGCGTTTACAGACATGGGGAAGGGACAGGGGAACTCCTGCAGGTCTCAGGTAAGTTACTTTGCCTGTTCAAGGTCCTAAACCCACACATACTCACAAAGGAGTATTGTAAGAGGATTACCTGCTTCTGCTTTTAAAACAATGAAGTATCTGGAACGTTGCCCCATTCTCAAGGTTAGGTGTGGTGGAACCAGGCAGGAGATCATCCCAGGGTTAGGTTTATCTTACAAGGGTGGTGCAATTCATCAAGCAAGCAGTACACAAATGCTTCTAGCATGGATGTCCTCTCACCAGCAGCAAAAACAAGCACGAGCCACAATTACTATACTGCTCATATTAAGACAAGAACAAAACCCCATTGTACTTATGACACTATTCAGATAAACTGAACTGAGGACTTCTTGCCTCAATAATGGACTGGATGAGAGCCAATAAGCTGAAGCTCAATCCAGTCTGGGGAACTGTTAGTGGGTGGTCCCCTAGACCAGATGGATGGGAGGTGGCTTGCTCTTGGTAGGGTTACACTCCCTCTGAAGGAGCAGGTATGTAGCTTGGCAGTAGTTATGGATCCATTGCTCTTCCTTGAGGCTCAGGTGTGCTCGGTGGCACAGAGTGCCTTGCATCAGCTTTGGCTGGTGGCCCAGTTGTGTCCCTATTAGGACACGGATAGCCTATGCTCTGGTAACCTCAAGGTTAGATTATTACAACCCGTTATACATGTGGCTGCCTCTTAAGATGGTTTTGAAACTTCAGCAGGTGCAGAATTCAGAGGCCAGGTTGCTCACAAGACAAGTTGAGCACATAAGGCTAATTCTGTCCCAACTGCACTGGCTGCCAATTAGTTTCTGCCCCCATGGTTTTTTTTCTGGAAAAAAGGTGGGAGAACTCACCACAAAGGCCCACAATAAATATAAATATTAATTTAATTTAATTTATATTTACATTTAATATATATAAATAAATATAATTAATATAAATTATATATATATTATAATAAATATTAATACTGGCTAATTAAATTACCTGTGGCATTTTAAACTGTTTGTGGCATATTTATATTTTTGTGTTTTTAGATGGTAAACTGTCCTGTGATCTTTGGATGAAGGGCAATGAAGAAATTTAATAAATGAAATAAATGAAAATAAAATTCTTATAACTAAAATCTACTTCATGTGTAGGGAGTTTAGGTCACAGACCACATAAACAAATTCACTGGAATTATTGTGACTTTATGAATTGTACCCAATGTTAGTCTTACTTGAAGGAGATGCATTGAAACGAATATGACTAACCTAAGTCCATGAATTTTAATGGGCCTACTCTGAGTATGACTAACATTGGACACAACCCTATACACACACACACACCATTTAGGACAAGAATATTTTTATACGTGTTTGGCTGCCTTTGTGTGAGCCACCAGCTTTACTTTATGAGACTTTGAAAAAACCTATATAGAAGAATAAAGTCCATTGGACGTGAACAAAAAATGATGCTTTGTGGTTATGTATGTCAGTGCCGTTTTCTGGATCTGTTGATTAGTTTTCAATTTTATACACCATAGACACTCATTTGTGGAGAAACTAAATGCATTTAAAGCAAAATATCCTCCGGTACTACTTTGCTATAGAGTGTGCTTGATGTGGGATCACTGGAGGAATCACTGGAGGAAAGACAGCTACTACCTCATTCAGCTTTGGAATCCAGTGTGTCATGGGAAACAGAATAACACCCAGACAGACCATTGCTTCACCCAACACAGTATTATCTGCACTGAGTATTTGCCAATGGCTCCCAAGGTTTTAGATTAAGGAATAGCAGAAGGTTTCACAATGGCTGAACCCAGGACCTTTTGCATGCAGTACATGTGCTCTACCCTTGCTCTGCCACTGCAGTGTGGTCCTGTCCTGTGGTTAAATGTTGCGCTCACATCAGTTTATTCTGGTTCTGAACTTCCAAAGAGCCAGCGTCATTATTTTTTCAAGCAAGTTTTTATAGACCCAAAGAATGCAAGAGCTGATGTCTAAAAATGCTGTTCAAACTTGTGCTTCATTGATAGGTATACAGGTGGTGTATGATCTTTCTGAAAGTCCGGGAAGCAGAGTGGTCAGCTTAAAGGTTCTTTGCACAGAGTGTAGAGTACCAGTCTATGAACCACTGCAGCTGGAAAAAACATACAAAGTGCTGCTACCTTCTTTCCTTGCTGGAGGAGGAGACGGATACCACATGCTAAAGGGAAGCTCAAATAACCACAGTAGCGGTATGTATAAGTTATTCCTGGCGATCTGTAATATGGCACATAGAATGTATATTGGAATTAATGACCCTGTAGGAGACCACTCTCCCATGAGTGTGGAAAATGCTGCTATTAGGCAAGCCTTTATTTATTCTAGCTGCAACAGGAAATATTTAACTCAGGTTGGTTTTGGAGTTCATCCAAAAGTAGAGAATGGGAAAAGCAAGAGAATATATATTTTTTTAAGTTTGAAACAAAAATGAGGAAATTTTCACAGGTGTAAAAGTACAATCACAATCACTTCCAAAACAATTGCACCTAATAATTAAAAGCAAAAGTTCAGTGTGTTACTGCTTGCCTTCAAGCTGATCTTGAATTTATGTGTTGGACATACAAAAGAATTTTCTGAAGTCAGATCAGTTTTACGCAGGCTTTTCCTAGCATGGTTACTGCTGTCACCACAGTTGCTCCTGTGCCAGTCTTTTTACATGCCAATCACACATGCAGACCTCCCTAGAGTTCTAGTGTTGCTTGTGTGGTTTGTTCAAGTCAGCAGGGAGAAGGAAGACAATAGATAGAAGTCTTCACACGTCATCTGACCTGGTATAGGAGCAACTGCGTGGACATTGGTGACAATGCAAGGAAAAGCATTTAAAGAGGGTAGGGCCTTCCAGATCGAGCCTTTAAAACAGAATACCAAATCTAAGAGTTTCATTTCAAAAGAGCAGCCAATTAATATCCTGTGCAGAAACCCTAAGCATGTTACAATTTGGATTCGGGCATCTACTGTAACATGTCACTGCTTTAATCGTATATAGAGAGCACTGCATATTTAACAACAGGGAATGCATACTAGGGAACAAGAGGCTGTGAGGACTCTTCCAGGAGGAGGTCATCATAGGAGGTGGCAAAAAGATGCAAAAACTCTTTTCTGGTACAGTGGCTTTGCCTAGAAAACACAGCTCCACAAACTATTTACTCACCGTAGTTACAGAATGTTGACCAACTGGGTGTGATTAAGATGCTACAATGATTTGACTGACATGAACTTTAGTGTTTCTTTTTCCTTTTCTTAAATAGGTGATCTTGATGTCGACGTTGTTTCCAACTACATAACTAGAATGGGAAGGGTATTTCCAGCGCTTGAAGGTCGTGTGAGGTTTTCTGCTGGAATTGTTTTCCAAGGACATCTTTCTTTGATTTCCGGATTATGTGTTTTACTTCTGTGCTTCATTTTTTAGTTTTTCACTTGCTGCAGGGGAACTTGACTTTTTCTGCATTCTATAAATTTCTTAATACTTAAAAGACAATCTCAGCTGCTTCCACTCTTCCCAGAGGGCAGAATGTAAATTATTATGGGCATGGCCATTAAAGGACATAAAATTCAACAATAAGGTTTAATGTATTTTGTATGTATACTGCGTTTTGAACTGACTTATGTTTATGTATATAATTGATATGTATATTTGTTCTTCATACCGTCACTTTTTAGAAAATTAAAAACAAAAAGAAGCAAGTTGTTTTTCTTCACCCTGAGTGCTGGGCATATTGCAAAATGTTACCCAAGTGGAAGAGCTCGCAAGAGTCTTTGTTCAATGCTGCTGTAACTTCTAGCTATGTTGTCATGGTTGGCATAAATGTAGATCTGGCCTATTGAGAGTAAAAGCTGTTTCCACCCAGGGTGGGATTTTTTGTTTTTGTTTTAAAGACTTCTGTGTAAGTCAGTGTGGACCTTCTTTCAGTTTGGTCCTCCATAGGATCTTCAATAAATGGCAAACGCTAGTATCCTCATACAGGCAACTCCCCATTCACACGAGTCCAATAGGTGCGCAACCGCGCATATGCACATTGTGCCAAACCCAGAAGTGGCTTGAAAACGTCACAAAAATGGGTGGGGTGGAAGTGGGTGTTTTCAGTTACCTGTGCAGTGCCTCGGAACGTTTACCCTGCATAAAAAAATATTTTTGGGGGGTGGGGTTGCCAGTACTATTTATTGGGAAGAAAGACAGTGAGGTATTACTGAAATTCAGCCAGTAATAAACTTTAATCTTTCTTCAGTGAATATATTTTTTTTTGAAGTCAAAGTTCATTCTATTTACAAGGAAATGTACAAGACTAAACACATGACCTATTCAATAAATTAGCACATCGCAACTATCTATAAAATGGAGTTAATCCAGTATTTTGTTGTTTTCATCCACTATGATCCGGAGGAAGCATACTTTTAAACCTGTTAACAGCAGTATTGGGGAAGAGAGAAAGAGAAAATACCTGTGATTTCAATTTATCCAGCTATGGAATGGCAATATAATTACAGTAGAAGCTCAAAGCAATGCATTAAGAAGTTGTGTAATGTGTAAGTGCTCTGGTGTTACAGGGGAATACTGAGATAAGCACAGTTCGTCACAAAAACCATTCAGGATGGTGAAATCTAAAGTCCCCTGTGCAAAGTTCTGAAATGATAGCTTCAAACTGGCTGATGTAGCAACAAACACAATCTTCAGTTATGCATTGAAGAGTAAAGGGGCACAGTGTACCAGCATATTCTGTGAAAATGGCACTGCAGTGAGTGGAAGTAGCTCTGAGCCCCTTGCACAATTTCCATTAATATCAGCTGGGGCTTATGGATGAGAACGGGGCTTGGCTGGAAACAGTGCCATAACTTAGTTGAAATCCCTGAGAATAACTCACCTCAGGATTCAACGGCAGTGAACACTTTTTTTTTTTAAAGAAAAGGAATGGCATACATATCACTATTAAAATTCATATGGTGCACAGACTGCATAGCAGAGCTGGGAACCATAAAGAGCAACTAAAATTATGAGCACAATTCCTTCATGAAGGGCAACTAAAACTGATAAATATGACTTTGTGTCACAACATACCTCATTCAGTTCTGGAAATAGTTCCTGAATCCCAATATCCAGTAGAACATACGTTAACTAAAATGAAACGTAGAGATAAATTACATTCTGGAATTAGCAATACAGACTACAGCGACCGTAGGTGATTAGTAAGCCCCCGCTTAGAAGAATCGCCACCTACATGGTAACAAATAACCTAAAAGGACTCCCACGGTACACTTGACAGAAAAGTACAACCCCACCCAGATGCAAATGAACCTTTAAGGGCTTATATACTAGGAGATGGAACCATTTTAAAACAAACTACGGTAGTTTAATAGGCTCTATTATTGTTAACTGTAGCTTTGTTGACACATGCCACTTTGAATACCTAGTCATGACAAGATAAGCTGGCAGTAATCTAATGTCTTCATTCTGCCAGATCTCAAGTGGCAAATTTTATTAACCTTGCACCGAGGTGTCACAGCGAAGAATTTTGTCATGCCACAGCTGGGGTGGCACTGGCATCACAAATCCCAAGTGATCTTGCCAAACTCTGTATAACCCCCACCCTCCCTGCCTATGCTCCCATGAGCTACCTACTGACATCCCATGAGCTACCTTACTGCTATCTATTTGAATTTATTTGGCACCAATATCACAGATTTGGCATTTCTCTGCTATATATATATATATATATATTATATATATTATTTATACCCCACCCTTCCCAGTTTAAAAACTGGCTCAGGTCGGCTAACAGCAAGTATAAAACATTGATTAAAATGTGACTTTAAAACAGCATAGAATACAGAATAAAATGCAGCATCAATAAAATTCATAAATTCAGGGGTCATTTTTGGAAGGAAAAAACCCAGTCAGTAGACATCGAATGATCACCAGGGCTAACTGGCCAAGTTGGTCTTACTAGGGCCAGCAAGGAGACCAGGGAAGAATTTAAATGTGGGGTCCCAGAAAGGGTTTCTTCATAGAAAAGGAAAGGGAAAAGGGAATAGAGGATCAGGCGAATTCAAATTGAAGGCCAGGTGGAATAGCTCTGTCTTACAGGCCCTGCGGAAGGAGATCAAGTCCTGCAGGGCCCTAGTCTTGTGGGACAGAGCATTCCACCAGGTCGGAGCAGTCACTGAAAAAGCGCTGGCTGTGGTGGAGGATAGTCTGGCTTCCTTAGGGCCCGGGACCTTTAAACCAGTGTTTCCCAAACGTTTTTGGGCAACGGCACACCTGTTTACTGAAAAAAAATCTCGCGGCACACCACCATTAAAGCCCCGCCCCGTGACGTCAGCGTGCAGCGTCACGCCGGGAGGGACGCACAAAAGTGAAAGTTTTTTCCCTCCCCCTTGCTGGGGAACCTCCAAGCTTTGGGGTGGGAGGAGGCAGCAGAGCGAGGGACTGAGGGACGGCGGCAACTGAGGCGGCGGCGGCTGAGGCAGAGCTGGGAAGGGGGTTTCCAGGGGACACGGCAGCTCCTCGAAAGGCTTCTCTCAGCTGCGCTCAATCCGCCTCGGAGAGGATTTCCCCTCCGGTCCCATGCGTTCGTTTGGGGCATCGCTCCGGCTGCTCCCTCTCCCGCCGCGCAGGAGCGATGCCTCTCTCTGGCTCTCCCTCCGCGCAGGCTGAGGGAGGGAGGGAGGGGCGCGTGTGACCCGTCTCTGCTGGGAGACCAAACCCAGCGAGGCAGAGTCGCGCGGAGGCGCCCAGGCAGCGCTGCCGGCTGCGAGGAGGAGCGCCAGGCAGCAGCAGGAGGCGCGGCCTCTCCTCGCCGCCGCCGCCCCGCCTCTCGCCGCCCGACTCGCCCGCCTCCCTCCAGGCATCTCGCGGCACACGAGGCAACGTCTCACGGCACACTCGTGTGCCGCGGAACACCGGTTGGGAAACACTGCTTTAAACTATTATTATTCATGGACCTTAGGGTCCTCTGCGGGACATACCAGGAGAGGCGGTCCTGTAAGTACGAGGGTCCTAGGCCGTATAGGGCTTTAAAGGTCAAAATCAGCACCTTAAACCTGACCCTATACACCGGGAGCCAGTGCAGCTGGTAGAGCACTGGGTGAATATGCTCCCATGGCAAGGACCCTGTGAGAAGCCTTGCTGCAGCATTCTGCACCCGCTGGAGTTTTTGGGAAAGTTTCAAGAGCAGCCCCGCGTAGAGCGGGTTACAGTAGTCAAGCCTGGAGGTGACCATTGCATTGATCACTGTGGCCAGGTCGGGGCGGGAAAGGTAAGGGACCAACTGCTTGATACGGCGAAGATGGAAAAATGTCGCCTTGGCTGTTGCTGTAACTTGCGCCTCCATGGAAAGGGAGGCGTCAAGGATTACACCCAAACTCTTAACGGAAGTCAATGGCACTAATTGGGCCCCCGCAAGAGAAGGGAGTTGGTCCCTCATCCCCATGCCATCCCGACCTAGCCATAGGACCTCTATCTTCGAAGGATTTAATTTCAGTCGGCTCCCACAAAGCCATCCAGCCACAGCTTCCAAGCATCTGGTCAGTGTGTTCGGGGCCGAGTCAGGGTGGCCGTCCATCAGCAGATAGAGCTGAGTGTCATCAGCACATTGGTGACAACCCAGTCCAAAGCTCCGGACAATCTGGGTGAGGGGGCGCATAAAGATGTTGAAAAGAATCGGGGAAAGGATTGCGCCCTCTGGCACTCCATACATGAAGGAGTGGTGCGGTGAAATCTCCATCCTTGGCGCCACCTTCTTAAAGGAGCGCAGCCATTGTCTGGCTTTGCCCTGAATCCCCACGGTGGCAAGGCGGTGGTCCAGAAGATCGTGATCAACCACGTCGAAGGCTGCTGACAAATCTAAAAGAATCAGCAGTCCCGACCAGCCTTGATCCAGTTGTCTACAGAGATCATCTGTTAGGGTGGCTAGAGCTGTCTTGGTCCCAAAACCAGGACAGAAACTGGGCTGAAATGGAACTAAAGCTGTGCAGCAGCAGGGCAGTTTAGAAAAAAAGGTAAGGGGGGGCATGATAGAGGTGTTTAAACTGTGCATGGTGTGAATACAGAAAAGCCTTTTTCACTCCACTGTAATACTAGGACATGGAGGAATCCAATGAAGCTGAATGTCGGACGATTCAGGACAGACAAAAGAAAGGGCTTCTTCATGCAGCACCAGGTTAAAACATTGGAGGTTGCTCTCACAGCAGGTAATAGTGGCCCCCAACTTGGATTAGAGAAATTAATGGCTAAGGCTATCACTAGCCATGATGGCTATGTTCCACTGCCACTGCCCAAGGCAGCATACCTTTGAATAGCAATTGCTGGGGAACACAAATGGGGAGAGTGCTTCTGGGCTCATGTTTGGCTTGCAAGCTTTCTGTAGTTGACCACTGTAAGAACAGGAAAGTGGACTAGACCAGCCCTTGGCCCTGGTTTCTCTCCAGCAGAAGAGAAAAGGAGGTCATTTCAAAACATTATAAATAATGGCTGTGAGTAAGAGCACCTACCTGTTTGTTGAGCACTGGCTGCTGCAGTCCATCAAACAGAAGTCTGATGCCTTCGTATTTGGCCTCCTCTCCAATGCACTTGCCTATCAAATCTGGACAAAATGCCAAAACGAAACCAGTTATGGCAACTCAAACAAGGAGGAGTAGAAACTCAATGCCCAGATCATCCCCGGAGCTTTA